TGCAGTTGCAGCTCGAGCTGTTCTCCTGTGGCATGACTTGTCCTGGGTTTTGCTGGAGCAGTCTCCAGTGAGGTAGGTGCTATCTAAGAACAGGACAGAAAGATGGATGGTGGCACAGAAGGTTTGCATCCAGTAAATAAGTCATGTAAAATAAATAGCTCTGTCAGCACCAGGATGAAGGAAGCCTGGCTTCTTATCAGTGTGTTGGCTGAAAATTCTGATTGGAGTATTTTAGTGTCTGGGAGGGGTGGTCCCCTCATGGGCATCATCTCTGGTGTCTAATAAAGATGAGATTACACTTCAGGATCCCCTTTGGAGGGGGAAGGAGGAGTCATTAGGGAGCCTCTGTTTCTCTCTAAGCTTCTAGTTTTCACTAAAATTGACACAAACTTAATTAGCGGTGAGGCTGTTGAATGTCAGATCTCACTGAAACTGGACAACCATCTGGTGCATCTTCATTTTAGGCTGGCAAGAAAGAAAAAAAAAAAAAACAACTTTTAAAAAAATCAGCGGTGATACTGTGGTTGAAACTGAGTGCCAAGAAAGGCCTCTGCTCTTTGCCCACTGCCCGGATTGAAACCCTCTTGCTCTTGAGGCGGCCCTTTTGCACCAGTGTCCTCACGGCTGGGCTTGGTGGTGTGACTGTCCCCTCTGGTAGCATCAGGAGGCTGCAGACCCCATGTTGCCCATAGCAGAAGGCTCAGGCCAAGTCATGAGAAGCTCCAGGAAGGAGATTTTCAGATCAGTGGGATGACACCGCCCCACCTGCTGTTAACCCTGTGGTAGCCACTCCAGATTTATAATGTGCTTTTAGTGCCTTCCTCAATCCCCTAAACAAGGCATGAGTCTTCAGCCTAATTTAAGCTTATTCAGCTGATTTCTCTCTCACCAAAGCCCCATTTGCTTATGGCTCAAATGGCAGCAGTGGTAAGTAGGTTCCCTTCAGTTTGCCATGCCCAAATCTAACCAATTCCTTCTCTACCACCCCTACAAGTTCTCTGCAGCTGTACCCCATCTCCCCATCCCAAATGATGGAGCCTTTGCTGAGCATGGCTTTATGTTCTAGCCAGTATGTACGCCCTCGTCACACTCGTCTTTCTCCTTTGGAAATCTGCAGATTTCTCCATTTATGCACAAGAATTTATTTCTTATGGCATTTTCCTCTGTGAGCTCAAACCATAATGCTGGAGAAGTATCACCTTCCAGGCTGAGTTTCTCGTGTGAACCAACCTCTCTCTTGGGTCAGGGCTCCTGGTTTCAAAACCAAAAATGGTTTGGCACATGTTGGAAAGAGTCCCTGCTAGCCAAGCAGCGAAGGCAAGTGTCTAATCAATAAACATGGGTTCCTGGGGGCTGTTTGCTGCTCAGAGAAGAGGGTGGGGTGGTAAGAGATGAGGGGCAGCTGAAGAAGAGGAGGGAAATGGGTGGACGCTGGGTGCAGAAAGACCAAGCTCTTTCACGCCTTTTCTCTTGTCACGTTAGTTTTGCTGGGGTGGTGTAGCGTCTTGTACAAGGGGAGATAAATCCATCTGTTTCAGGTTTGGAAAATAGCTCTGGAGGAAAGCTGTGAGTGACAAACCCCAGGTTATGGGTAGCACAGTTCATGCACACCACCAGCTGAGTGGGCATGGAGAAAGGGCTCTGGTTCAGTGTTTCAAGCAGAAATATATCCCTGGAGTCATTCTACACATTTCACACCAGTCATTTCTTACTACGTCTGAAAAAATTGCCAAGGGACAGAGCATAGACTTTCTGTGTCTTAACATAGCTTGATAGATTTCATCTTACCTTCAGGGTCTAAGCTATCTGCCGTGGCATTCATGTTTTAAATCCATCAGTAGTGTTGAAAGCAAAGAACTGACTCAGTAATTCTGTTTGTTTGTGGAGACATAATGTCCTTGGATCAGATAAAAGCACCTTCCCAGTACTGCTTTTATATACCTCATTAATTCAAACAGTGTCAGTGGCTGTGTCTTTTTTTTTTTTTTCTGCCCCCCAGCAGAAGTAGCAACAAAACTGACTTCATCTTTGAAATTTCCTGCTGCAGACTCCGTGGCAGGACATCGCAGCGGCTTGATTAGTGTTTACATTCCAGTTGTTCCCCAGAGGCTGCTGCTCCTCTCGGGGCTGCGACTGGCCGGGTGCTGTGCAAATCCCATCAAGGGAGAGATGCTGGGGACTGGTGGTCTGGCACGCAGGGAGGGAAAGGGGGAAGCCCTGTGCTCGGGGTCTCACTGTGATTTGGTGGAGGGACCTCGGACCTGCCCTCCTGCCACCCCAGGCAAAGCCTTCTCCAAGCAGCCACGCTGCTTCTGAACACTGAGCTACAACTTGCAGTGCCAACCCATGAAATATTATCTGTAGAGGAGAGTTAGAGATGCCCTAAGAGCCCAAGGTGAAGAGAATTAAAGGGCGAGGCTAGAGTGGGTCTCTATCCACAATTTCAGGCCTTTTCCACCTCCCAAGGACTGCTCTGATCGTATGAGGAGACCATCCTTGGTGCCACTTGCTCACAAGGCTTGTCTTTGAGGTTTTACCTCGCTCCCAAGTGAAGCAACAAGTTCTGACAGCCACTACAACCACACTGTGTCTCCCTTTGGCCCATCCATGGCTTGGGAAGGAAGAAATCCCATCCCCTCCCTCGGCCCACTCCTGTTTTCTGATGGTCTCGGAGATACACGATACCCAAAGCTCTGCTGCTGTGTGACACCACAAATGACCAACTAATTAGGCAAAGAGGAATGATGAATTTAGATTCTTCTTTAAGGCTCACAGACTATTAGTAATCTTGAATTTGTTAATTGAAAATTGCTTCCTCTGTTTGTTGTTGGCCTTTTTGTGGAGGGGGATATTTCCTGCTTTTGGACTGCGTTGCTGGATCTATAATAATGCACTTTGTACATTAGTGCCAGGCACATTTGTAATTGGCTACCCTATTAAAGAACACTAATGATCTTACAAGTGTTCACAAATAATGAATAGAATGGCCCCTTGTTGAATTGAGTAATTTATTCACTGACATACTTGCAGATCTCTTTTTCCAGTATTTAACCCAGCTTTAGTTTTCTGCCTGTCTTGCAGAGATGACTTCTCTTCTAGCCATGCTTTGGAGAGAATATGGGTCACAGGAAACATACTGTTCATAAAAATATAGGACTGCTCCATGCTGGCTCTTCTTTTAACATACACGGTAGGATTTGGAGACCAAGCAGCAGCAGTTTTAGTCTCAATGCTCCTCTTGTCCATTAGGTGCTGTTGGGATTCTCCTGAGGCATAAGGAGAGGAACAAAAGATCAAGATGTGGGAAATGCTCTCTGGGAGGTTATGTTGAATTTTTAAATACGAATTTCAGGAAGAACATGTCAACAATATAGAGTGGCAGGATTGGTTTTCCAACTGCTGCCCCTTGCTAGATGGGAAACTGAAACACAGCCCTGTCTGGTTCCTGCACTCCATGAAACTTTGGGCAACCATTTTGCTGCTTTCCTACTAACAACATTACAAAAAGGTACTTTGTGTCGAAAGAAGCAGCTCAGCTGAGCTTTCAATTTTAATTACGTACAAAAAAAAGCTTTGTCCTAAAGCCTTGTTTGCTTACAAAGAACACACAGAAACGTGCAGTTCACAGACCATCCGCGACTTGTTGGGTTGTAAGGAACAGAAAATTCATTGCAGTAGGAGTTGATGGTCCTGGGCTTGATTTTGTTTTGTTGCAGGTCTTCCCATTGCACTACTGTGACACTTTTCCATGAAGGTTAGTTGTGGGGGGTGGGTACCTCTGCCTTATCTCGGGCTTCTGCAGCCTACAGGTCTTCTGAGTCTTGTCAAGGTGTGCTAGAGGAAAAATTCCTTGGGGCAGAAGCCAGCCATGGTGTATGGGGGGAATATGGTAATGCTGGACAGTAACCAACAGGGTGTGTTAAAGAGCTGGTTTGGGTCAGCACATCTGGAGAGAGTTTTCCAAATCCTGGTCTTTTGTTCCTCTCCTTCTGCCTCAGCAGAATCCCAACAGCACCTGATGGACATCTGGAGGTGGACCTCCTATGTGGGGAGCTTGGTGTCTGTGCCCTCGGTGACCACATCACAGCGGGGTTTCCACACATTAAGTAAGCTGAATTTGGGCTTCCAAGACTTAAGAGGGCAGGTTGGACCTTGAGGAAGCATGGAGAAAGGGAATGGCTTTGGGCAAAGGGATTATTTGTGTCGAGGTCAAGCAGGTCTGGTGGCCAAGTGGGCTTGTGGAGGTGGGGCATGGGATTGGGTCCTTCCTGTGAACCTGCAGCAACACTGCTGCCAGTGGGACCAGGTGGAAGCCACAGGGATGGGCATCCATCCCATCGCGGGCAGTTGCCCAGCCCTTCTCGCGGTGATTTTGTGGGGGGATGTTGGAACCTGATTTGAGGGGGGGAACACTGGACGCCGGCTTTGGGGCAGGGGAAAGATGTCAGACCTTGATTTTAGAAGGGAGATGCCAGAACCTGCACTGGGGGGATGCTGAATCCTACATTTGTGGGGGGGGAGGGCTGATGCCAGACCCTGATTTCTTTTTTTTGGTTTTTTTTTTTTTTTTGGAGGGGGGGGGGGCTGATGCCAGATCCTGATTTTTTTTTTTTTTTTTTTTGGGGGGGTGGGGAGGCAGAGCGTGTTTTTTTTGTGTTTTTTTTTTTTTTTTTTTTTTTTTTTCTTTTGGGTGGGAGGTATCAGACCCGGATTTTTCGGGGGGGGGATGGGGGGAGGGGGGGGCTTGTCCGAGAGCCTGATGTTGGAGGGGGGGGGGGGAACCCCGAGGGAGGCCAAGGGTTAAGGGGGCGGGCGGCGGCGGGCGGGGCCGCGCTGGCGGAGCGGATTGCAGCCGGCGGCTGCTGCGGCGGCTTCGGCTGCGCCAGGCGCGGAGCAGCGGCGGGGAGCGCGGGCGGAGCCCCCCCCCCCCCCCCCCCCCGCCGCCCCCGGCCCCGCCGGTTCCCCCCCCCCCCCCCCTCCCCGCCCCCCTTTCCCCTCACCCCCCTTCCCCTCGTCCCCGACAGCCACCATGGTGCAGAAATCCCGCAACGGAGGCGTTTACCCGGGCCCCGCCGCGGAGAAGAAGCTCAAGGTGGGCTTCGTGGGGCTGGACCCGGGCGCCCCGGATTCCAGCCGGGACGGAGCGCTCCTCATCGCCGGTTCCGAGAGCACCAAACGCGGCAGCATCCTCAGCAAACCCCGCTCCGGGGTGTCGGGCAGCGGGAAGCCCCCCAAAAGGAATGCTTTTTACCGCAAGCTGCAGAATTTCCTCTACAATGTGTTGGAGAGACCGCGGGGCTGGGCTTTCATTTACCACGCATATGTGTGAGTAAAAGGGGGGGGGGGAGGGAGGCAAACCCGACGCGGGGAGAGCCCCCCCGACCCCCCCCCCCCCCCGACCCCCTTTAGCCCCCTAAATGCATGCCAAAGAGAAAGGATGCTCCAGCTGCAGAGCGGGTGCAGGGAGGGGATTCCGGTTGTCTGGGGAGCGCCGGGCGGGATGCGGTGGGGTGGCGGAGGCAGAGATGACACCCCCCGTCCCCCCCAAAGGGAACAGCCGGGTCGCCGCTGCATCCCTGGCCCAGCCGGTACCCGGGGGGGGTGGGGGGGGGCAGCGATGCCGGGAGATGCTGAAGGGAATCGGGGGGGGAGGGTGGGTGGGGAGAAGCTGCCCCTGCAGAACTGGGGGGTGGCTCCCCCGGGGAGGTGCAATGCACCGCTCCCCCGTCCCTCTGTGTGTGTGCCCCCCCCCCCCCTCCCTCCCTGTGCTCCTGCTTGCGGGGGAAGGGGGCTGCTCATGCGGTCGGTGCAGGGGGGGCTGGAGCAGCGGGAGTGATGGGTAGGAACTGCTCCTCCGTCTTGCTTGAAATCACCATAGCAATGCTGTGAGCACAGGAACAAAAAAGCTCAGCTTAGGCACTGTCTCTCCTTCCCTCCCAACCCCCCCCCCCCCCCTCCCCCCCCAAGCGCACCTTCTCCCCCCGCCCCACCTTTGGCTGCGAAGGGTTTGGGGCCGGGGGGGGGGGGGGTCAGTTTTGTGGCTCTGCACTGGGTTTTGGAGGTGTTTCTTGTCCCCCTGTGGGAAGTGGCTGAATTGGAGATGTGTCTAGAAAGAAATGCTAATCAGTGTCTGGGGCTTCCTGACTGCACAGCGATGGAGCGGTAAACAAAGGAGCGGTCCCAGGGTGCCCGTTTCTCCTCTGTCACCCCCCTGTTGTTTTTTTCTTTTTGTTTTTTTACCCAGAAATGGCCACATCTGACCCGCCGTTTGGCAGAAGATGCCCATATCTGAAGGCATTGCTGCATCGGGAGAGCAGATGACTTCCCGTTGTTCACAGGATTGCAAAGGGAGGGTCAAGATAAATTGCTGTGTTACTGCAACTCCCTTCCCTCTGGGACTTTCCACAGTCCCACGAGGCTCATCTGCAGGCCTGGGGTGCTCATTCCCTTGGTGCCGATGTTTTTTTTTTTTGTTTGTTTGTGTGTTTTTCATCATGGTTAGGGCCTCTGTCAGCCTCAGCAAGAGGATTTTTTGGACGTTTTGTGTTTTGTTTTTTTTTTTTTTTTTTTTTTTTTTTTTCTTGTTTTTCACCATCCTTTTGCTGTTGCGCTATTCTCAGAGAAGGTGTTGGGATTTGCTTTCTGGTCCTCAGCCATTTTGTACATTGAGGCCTTCCAGGGAGGTGTTGGGGAGTCCAGTCGGAGAGGTGAAATGCTGGCTGGGTAGAACAGGGAGCTTTGCTGTGCACCGCAGCGACTTGGGGTCCTTGAGGGGAGCTTGGCCCCCGTGGGAAATGAGTGAGGAGAAGAGGGAGCATCTGTGGAGCTCGGCTGCAGCTACGATAAAGAGTGTGAAGTCCAGCGCTGGGAGTCTTGAGCACCCTCCATGCTCAGTCAGGGCCGGCCATCCTCTGGAATTGTAGGTGGTTTGTGTCATGAAATCCCCCAGAATTGTGCAGAGGGGCCGAGTGCTCACGTTGTGATCTGGGTGCTTGCCTGTGTGTGCGCCGAGGGTGGGGGGATGTTGTGGGCAACACACGCTGTATCCTATTAAATACAGGTGAGACCCCAGCCTGGGGGCACTGCGGGGACAATGGCAGAGATGGAAGGGGATGAAAGCCAAATGGCAAGTGGCAGAGGTAGCCCTGACTGTGGGGGTTTTGCAAGCATCTTCTTCGGATACTCGGTCTTAATTTAGAACCTGTTTGGTGCTCTTCAGTGGCATTTACTTGGGCAGCCAGTAACCCTCAGGAGCAGGAGTGGGGACATCCCAAACTGCCCTCCTGGCAGGGCTCACTTTCCTGTGAACTCCCTGTCCCCAGTGCCGGGCTGGGGTGCCCTTTGCCTCTCACCACGTAGCTGCATCATCCCCCCCCCGCTCCCTCCATTTCTCCTGGGCTCATGACTCCACTTGTACCTGCTGTGACACCCCGTGGAGCCATGTCCTCCGATTAGAAACTGCTGGCCTGGGATGTGCTGAGAGCTGGGCGGCCTCCCTAGATCACCTTGGGGAGATGTAACCACTGCAAAACCATCCTTTGACTCCCACCCATGCGCCCGTCAGGAAATGGAGGCTGAATTCATGGCTGGGGTGGTGATGGCACCAATGTCTGTGAAGCAGCAGTGATAGAATTAATTTTTTTTTATAGTGTATTGGGAAGTTATATGGACTCCAGTCTTCTGAACTATACATATGATAGATTTAGCCCTGGCAGTTTGCTAATATATTATTTAAAGACCTGAAGGGTATGGTAAACATCATAAGAAGTCACCAGGATAAGCTCATGCACCAGTTACCTCCCTTTGCTGCCTGGGTGACCGCGGCGTGGCCTGTGGCAGATCTGTATGTGTTTGAATGGGGTGAGGAGGGGCTTTCGTGAGTTTCTGTAACTCCAAGTCTGTAATCCAGACAGACAGGACCGATAAAAAGCTTAGTGGCTGCTTATTCAAAGATATGGGAGGATGAAGAGACTGGTTCAAGGTCATAAAGTTTGTTTGGGAGAGCTGGAGTCACCCTTGATGTCCTGATGGCTGGTGCAGTGCCCTACCCACGGTACTGGGGTCACACTGTCTCCTCCTGCCCCAAACCCTATTTTGTGCCAAAGCCTCGAGCACAAAAGCACCTTTAGCCTTCATCCTGCAGGAGTAGGAGTCCTGAAGAAGACTGGGTGAGGGAGCCCAGTCCTGCTGCTGTCTTGGGCTGTGCACCGCTCGGCCCCTCCAGCCCTGACCCTTTCTCTGCTCCTGTTACTCACAGGGACTTTCTTGCATGAAAATTCGGGACATATTTCCAGTGTGAATGAGCTTGTGACCCTGCAAGGTTGGTTTTTAGCTTGTAGAGATGCTTATAGACACAGCTGCATTTCTAGGTGTGAAGCTGCTCCTGGGCTGCTGTGCTGCTCAGGCAGCCTCCCTGCACCCAAATGCCAAGACACAAACTATAGAGACCCTTCCAGCATGGAGATTTTTAAATAAATATGAGAGGTGCCTCTGCGTAAGTACCTCTGACAAGCAGAGGCCCATCTCCCAGGTTGGTGTTGCACTGAACAATTGATAGACTGCCTTGAGATGCCCATGCAAGTTGCGTTTAGTGCTGCATCCTAGATCCAATCTTTGATTTCTTTCCCCACCTCTTCTTCCTGTTGTCGCTCATTCCCCTTTGCACCATTTTATGCATAAGAAACCAGAGAAATTCAGAGCAACTCCCACCCATCCCAGCCCCAAACTCATTAACATGGTCTTATCTCAGATGTTGCCTCTGTAAAAGTGCTATTACCTCTGTGAGCAAAAGCACTATTTTATTTCTGTGTTGTGATTCATTTTTATACTTAATAGCTCTTCCTACACTGACACAACTGGGTGACCTTCTTGCAGGAGATTATATATAAATATATGTATTTTGCACAGCCCCATGGACAGCTGAGACTGTTGGGTCCCATTTATGAGTGTGGCTGGAGGTGGACTCTGGCTCCCAGAGGTCTGAGCATCCCCGATCTCCCATCTTCTCCCAGTATTTCTCTCAGCATCTTTCTTTCCTATTCTTCCTCCCCGTCCTTTTTTTTTTTTTCTTCTCATTTGACAGAGCCTTAGCAATGCAGCACGTGTCCTCATTCTGTTCAAGGTTGAGCTGAAACTTGAAAAGTTGAGCAGTGCCTAAATAGCACCTAGATCTTGAGGTGGTTCTCTGCATAGGGAGGCATTTTGCTTCCAAAATTCTTCCATTTTATTTCTCTCAAGAATTCAAACTTTTTTTTTTTTTAAACTTCTAGTCCTTTTACCTTGGTTATTGTGAACTGTCCTGGGCTCGTTGTTCATAGAATCACAGGATGGTTTGGGTTGGAAGGGACATCAAAGCCCCCCCAGTGGCCCCCCCTGCCCCGGGCAGGGCCCCCTTCCCCCAGCCCAGGGGGCTCCCAGCCCCGTCCAACCTGGCCTTGAACCCTTCCAGGGAGGGGGCACCCACAGCTGCTCTGGGCACCCTGGGCCAGCGCCTCACCCCCCGCACAGGGGAGAATTTCTGCCTTAGATCTTACCTAAATCTGCCCTCTTTTCAGTTTAAACCATCACCCCTCATCCTACCCCCACCCCCTGACCCAGAGTCCCCCCCCACCTCTCCTGTCCCCCCTTTAAGCCCTGGGAGGCCACTCTCAGGGTCCCCCCGGAGCCTTCTCTTCTCCAGGCTGAACCCCCCCAACTCTCTCAGCCCGGCCCCCCAGGGGAGCTGCTCCAGCCCCCCCAGCATCTCCGTGGCCTCCTCTGGCCCCGCTCGAGCAGCTCCGGGTCCTTCTGCTGTTGGGGGCCCCCGAGCTGGCCCCAGCACTGCAGGGGGGTCTCCCCAGAGCGGAGCAGAGGGGGAGAATCCCCTCCCTGGCCCTGCTGCCCCCCCTGCTCTGGCTGCAGCCCAGGGCACGGGTGGGTTCTGGGCTGTGAGCACACGGTGCTGGCTCACAGTAGATTTTCCCCCCACCAACCCCCCCAGTCCCTCTCCCTGGGGCTGCTCTCCAGCCACCCCTCGCCCAGCCTGGGTTTGTGCTGGGGATTGCCCTGACCCATGGGCAGGACCTTGCCCTTGGCTTTGTTGAACTCCATGAGATTTGTACAGCCCCACCTCTCCAGCCTGTCCAGGTCCCTCTGGATGGCATCCCTGCCCTCCAGCCTGTCCCCCACCACACAGCTCGGTGTCATCGGTGAACTCACTGAGGATGCACTCAATGCCACTCTCCACGTCACCAACAAATATGTTAAACAGCGCCGGGCCCAACACCGACCACTGAGGAACGACACTCATCACTGCTCTCCACTTGGACAGCTCTTGGAGTGCAACC